CCTCCGTGTGAGGCCCTTCACATCCTCATTTCCATTCCTCTGTCACTTCCTGAGGGGCCAGGATCTTGTTCATCTCTTCAGGCCAGGGCCTGTTCTGTGCCTCTCAGTGGATGGAAGAATGAGGCAGGCAGGTGATGGTAATGTACAGGGATTAGGAAACCTCATTAGGGCTGGCCGGGCTAAGACAGATACAGATAGAAGAAGAGGGATTGCCCAGAAGGGGGTGGCTGAATATTAGGGGGTGCTGAATATTAGGGGTCAAACCTGAAATTTGCCCTTCTTGAGAAGGAAAACAAATCTGCCTAAAGGTACACAATAAATTAATAACAATAATATCTTTTTTAAAAGACTGACTAATGCTCCTCCCTACCTCTGTCACTCCCCCACCCAAAAGAAAACAAGAAAACTTTCAGGAAAGTTGGGGAAGGGGAGGTACGTGCTGCTCGAGAGGTTCTTAGGAGAGCGTTTGTTGTCTCTTCCTAGTCTTTGGCCTTTTTCCAGTCCCAACTGTTCAAAGGCACCGGGGCAGAATTTGTCTTCCCAGGGCTGGAACACAGGATATCGCTAAGATTCCTCTAGATCCCGGAGTGATGCTGCGAGCTGCACGCACCTGCTCCGACTTTTCCCATTTAAAATTCCTCATCAGAAACCCTTCCTTCCATTCTGACGTCCCAGACGTCGCTCTTGGATCTTCCACCCTGCTTGCCTTGCATTCCTACCACTCAGCTCAGACAGATGAAATGCACGATAAAACCTCTCAGTCCATGGAGCAGGGACCTTGTCTTTGTGTCTCATACAGTGCATGTACACCTGCAGGGCTTTGTAAATAATAAATGGCCACAATAAAGAAGCTGCTTCTTTGGGGTCAGGGGTGTGTGTTTGCAGAAAAACAGTTCCCCCGACGCCTCCTCCCACCAGGTCTAGCTCTGCCTGGCACAGCTGTCACTGGAGTCTGAGGACGTAGTGCACAGAGATTTCCAAAGGGACATGTGACCTGAAAACGTAGGGTTCCAAACAGAATAAAAGGCGCAGTGCCAGGATTTCTTGGCCAGGGGAGGTCAGAGAGCAGCCTGCCGACATACTATGTACTTGAAAAATAAATGTAGCATGGAAATGCAAGATGTCATTATTATTACTTCAAGTTGTATTGTTCTGCTTAATCCGGCCTTTACAAATTACAACAGCACAGGCTTTTTAAGCCAAGTATATAACAATAATGTACTATTGAAAGAGAGATTGGCTGGTAATAACAGGTATTATTACTCTAATAATAACGTGCCAATTTCATACAAAGGAGAGAGACCTCTTTCCAGCTGGGTGAGCAAGCTGAAATAGACAAGGGCGTTTCATTAGGGTGACTGCGGAAGGGCAAGGACACGATGACAACATGGGCACTCACTAGGATGACCCCATCACTGATACTGCGAACAAGTGGAGTAAGACTCTCGACTAGCCCGCAGTTTTGCTGCAGGAAACAGCAGTTCATGTTTTTGAAAGCATGCTGCTAAAATCTTTCCTCTGTGTTTCCTGTTGCAGGGCACTATCAGAGCCACAGAAAGTTCTAGAACAATGAGCTCATCCATCAGGTATATTGGGGGCCTTCGTAAGAATAGTAGCTGCCATTTATTGCAGCCTTGCTATGTGCCAGGCACTGTGCATCACTCCATTTACTCCTCTCCACCTTCCCTATGAAGCGAATCCTGTTATCCTCCGTTTTATACATGAGAGACCTCAGGCTCAGGGTCGGTGGCCCAGGGTTCTAGCTAGGATCGAAACATAGACTGAATCTGGGGTCCAAGATCGTTACCACTGTGATCTGCTCTCTCTACCGCCACTTGGCAATGTTTCAATGGTTGAAATAACTGAGTATCAGTAACTCAGACTTGACATCTCTAGGCTAAAGGGAACACTTTTCAAGCATCTGAGCTGATGGAAGGACAGAGTGGCAGGAATCGCATCAATGCACAGGTGCTCAGAGAGGCACCTGGACTTGGCTGCGGACAGCCTCTCCGGTGGAGTCTGCAGCAGAGTTGCTTTCTGAACGATGTTTCTCGAGGCAGGTATTAAAAATAGCCGTAATTTCTGAGACTACTCTGGCTAGTCGGGAGAGGAGAGTGACTCTGAAAGAGGGGTGGGAATGGAGAAACTACTGCGGCATAAAAGTTTGACTACAGATAATTTGTAAAGTTGATGATCACCCTGGCTCAGACTTGCTCTTTCTAATTAGCAGAGCTGGATGGTGGTAGCTCCTTCAGCCCTCTGAGACTTCATTTTTAAAATCTCTTTATCTTTAAATGAGGGATGTGGAGGAAAATTAGAAGGATGGGTGTTTCGAGGTTCCTATTGTCGAGCTCTGACCATCTGCCCTGGACTCGATTTATTCCAGATTGTCAGTTCCATGAGCCATCTTAATGAGCAAGCAGGGGAAAGGTCTCAGTCCAAGCGTTGCTCTGGCCTAAAGTGATTGCCCATGAACGACTCACTAATTTTTAATTAATGCTCTGATCCATCCCAGACCCCTGGCTTGTGCATATTCTGCCCCTTCCCCCCACCCTTCACAAGCAGGAAGAAAGACATCTGGGCTGCTTCGGTGCCTGTTGAGACAGGAAAAGGAGCCAGGGTTAGTGCACATCCCTTTCATTTTCAGGGAAGTCACAGAACCACATGTTTTTTAAAGCTCAAGGGTGGAGGGCTGGGATCGGGGAGAGGCTGAGGGGGAAGGGATGCATGTATGTGATGGGGGCTATGGATGTGGAGGTAATGATGTGGCAAGTGTGTCCATGTGCAATATGGTGTGTGTGATGTCATGTGAGCATGCTATGTAGGTCAAGTGTGTGATGGTGTCTGTGTGTGTGTATGTGTGTTGTGCTCTGTGTGATGTGGTAGGTGTTGCTGTGTAGGTCGAGCGTGTTTTGTGAGTATGGTGTGTGTGTGCATGTGCAGTGTGGTGTGGTCTGAGTGTAAGGGGGGTGTGTGTGTATATGTGGTATGGTGTGTGACTTACAAATGAGCTTATGTGTTGTGCAGGTCGAGCGTGTTGTGTGTGTATGGTGAGTGCATGCACAGTGGGTCTGGGTTCTATGGATGAGCATGTGTCTGTTGTGTAGTGTGTGTGCGTGTGCAGTCTGGTGTGGTGTGTGATGTGAGTGTGGGGGAATGAATGTGGTGGTAGTGATGGTGGGGTGTGTGTGTGTGTGTGTGTGTGTGCATGTGCATGTGTGAAAAGAGGCAGAACAAGAATGAAAGCATCTCTAACACAATAAGCTGCTTGAAAAGGGGATTTTTCTATCCCTAGAAATTTGCCAGAATATCTTTCTTTTCTGGCTAAAACCTCTACTCAGAAGGTCTCTGATGCTCTTGTTTAAAAAGGACAGGATGGGTTTCAACCAAATAAAATGAGTGTTAAAGATACTTTGGGAAAAAGCATTTTTACAAATTCAGTGCTAATGATGCAGTGGTTTCAGTTTCCTTCCATTGAGTGAGAAGGAAAATTAATTTTGAAACCAGTGGAGGCTCAGGTCCTGTGCAGCAAGATAAAGAAGACAATAGCACGCAGCCCCTTTGTAGATTCGTCCCTGCTCCCCTCACAGCTCCTGTTTCCAGCTCACAGATGGGATGAAATCCTCTCTTTGTGGAATACTGAAAAGGACTTTTGGTCTCCAGGGTTTGCCATTCCAAACAGAAGGGACTGAAGTCACCCTGATATGGAGGTGCCATCTAGGGGCAAGAAGGGGCCGGAGGAGGCTCCTGAAGAACAAGGAAAGGAGTCATCCAGCCAAAGGATTTTGTCACAGTCCTTCATGTACGCTTTCAGGAGCTGGGGTCCTTGTGCAGGGGAGCGTCATAGAAGGGCTAAGCCCAGACAACTCCTGCAGCTTCAAAAACATTTCCACTGAGAGGCTTTTCTTCAAGCCAAGCTCCCTGGCAGAGCAGCATTCCAGAGAAATGCAAATTGAGTAAACACATGGAAAAAAGTTTACATTCACAAGTCATCATGGAAATGAAAAACAAAAAAATTGACACTGAATTGGTGAAGTTTTTTTAAATGGTTATGTTGGGGCGCTCTCACGCTGCTGGGAGAAGTACACATTAGAATAACCTTTCTGGGAGGGAGTTTGGCAACACTTATCAAGAGCCTTAAAAGTGTTTCTACCCTTTGGCTCAGTAATTCAATTTCTAGGAGTTTATTTAAAAAAAAAAAAAACTCATCAGAGTGTAAAGATTTCTGTAAGGAGATGTCCATGGCAGGGTTAGTTATAAATGTGAAAAACTGGTATTAACTTTGTAATCAAAATAGAAAAGTCGAAAATAAATGTACTGTCTACATAATGAAATGCTATGCTGAAAATCATATTTTTGGACATGGGAAAATAGGCAAATACAATGTAAAGTTAAAAAGGAAATATGTTTAGAAGTATATAATGTATATTTATAGAAAAAGGGGCTGAAAGGATATACATCAAACTTAATAGCTGTTTCCTTCGAGGAAATAACATTAAGTGATTTTTTTAATTTAAGCTTTTCTGCATTTTTCCATAATTTTCTATACTGGGAAATAAATATGATAATGATAATAATAAAAACGACATATATAATTTTTAAAATAAGCCTGAGGGGAGATATGGTGGCCATGCCTGTAATCCATGCACTTTGGGAGGCCAACACAGAAGGATTGCTTTGAGGCCAGGAGTTCGAGATCAGCCTGTGCAACACAGCTGAGACCCCATTACTACAAAAAAAAAAAAAAAAATTAAAATTAGCTGGGTGTGGTGGTGCATGCCTATAGTCCTAGCTATCCAGGAGGCCGAGGTAGGAGGATCATTTGAGTCTAGGAGTTTGAGGAGGCAGTGAGCTATAACCACACCACTGCACTTCAGCCTGGATGACACAGTGAGATCCTTTCTCTAAAAATAAACAAATAGATCAATAAAACATTCCTGTGAGCAACAACGACAAAGGCAGTAGAAGAATCCCTTTCAATTAGAGGGGAAGGCACTCACATTTTTAAGTACTTCCTCCTGTGTTACAGGCTTTGAACTTGCGTTATATTATTTCATGCTCACAATAGCCTTAGGGAAGATGTCTCTTCTCATAGCTCCAATGCCTTTCCCCTCCTCTCACTTTCAGCCCATGGTCTTGCTTCCTATTCCATTGAGAAAACGAAAGCAATAAGAAGACATCTTTCATACTCTCCCACTATTGCTTCTTCCTCCAACCTGCGTCTGTGCTCACGGATTTGGCTTCCCTGCTGTTGTTATAGATGACTCACCTGTGCTCCTCTCTAAAGCCAGCCTCTGCACTCGGGCTGCAAGTCCAGTCTCCTTTCACCTACTCAACATTTCTCCACGAGTCTTCTCTCTCTGTCTCACATCCATTTCCCTAGCTATTGGATCATCCCATCGGCTTATTAACATGCTGTAATATTGCCCACATTAAAAAAAATTCTCTCTTGACTGACGGCCCCTTCCAGCTACACTTCCTCCTTTCTACACCCACTTTTGCAACAAAACTCAAAAGGATTGTCTGTCTTCACTGATTCCATTTCCTCCCGTTTTCTTTAAGCCTCCGTGCTCAGCGGTCACCCTACCCTGGTCCATGAAATTGTTCTCATCAAGCTCATCGCTGACCTCCATGTTACTAACCCAAACGGTCAATGATTAGTCCTTACCTTGCTCAACCTCTCAGCAGCCTTTGATGCAGCTGAAAAAACTGATGCTTCTTAAAACGGTTCCTTCACTTGACTCTCAGTAGTCTATGCAACCCTGGTTTCCTGCCATTCAGTTGCTGTCTCCTTTTGCTGATTATATAACCTTCTCTAATCCCCGGGGTTCCATTCTCTGCTCTCTTTTCCTCTGCAAATATGAATCTCTCCCTTGAACTTCAGATATATAGCTAAATTCGAAATGGGTAGAGAGACAGATACCATATCAAACTTAATCAAAATCAAACTTCCTATCGTCTTTCCCGGACACATGTTCCCACCACTGCCTCCCTCATATCAGTTAGCGGCAGTGGTATTCTTACCATTGTTCAGGTCGAAACCTTAGTATCACCCTTGAGGAATATTTCCCTTTCACTCTGCATCTCATCTATTATCAAATGTTGTCTCTTTCTCCTTCATAATACATCCAAAAACCAGCCACTTCTCACCACCTCCACTGCTACCATCCTAGTTCAGGCCGCCATCATCTGTCTCCTGGATTTTTTTCTTCCAAACTGGTCCCTTTAATTCCAGCCTTGACTCTCTACATTTATTCTCAACCCAGTAACCAGGGCAACCTGCTAAAATACAAATCAGATAATGTCACTCCTTCCCGTGTTACTCAGAATAAAAGCCTATGTCTTTCCAAAAGCCCATAAGGACCTGTATAACCTGGGTCTCTGTTTCTATCTCCAACCTCATCCTACTTCTCTCTGCCTTCCCACTCTGCTCTTTCCATAGTGACATCCTGGCTAAATAAGAGCAGACCAGTTACGTTCTACCTCGGATATGTGTTTGGGTGCTCTCCCTTATCCCCAGATTTTCGAGCAAACGTCACCTTCTCAATGAGACTTTCCCTGATCATCCTATTTAAAATTGCTTTTTGTGGCCGAGCACAGTGGCCCACACCTGTAATCCCAGCACTTTGGGAGGCCGAGGTAGGTGGATCATGATATTAGGAGTTTGAGACCAGCCTGGCCAACATGGTGAAACCCCATCTCTACTAAAAATGCAAAAATTAGCTGGGCGTGGTAGTGGGCTCCTGTAATCCCAGCTACCCGGGAGGCCGAGACAGGAGGACTGCTTGAACCCGGGAGACAGAGGTTGCAGTGAATCGAGACCACATCATTGCACTCCAGCCTGCATAACAGACCAAGAATTCGTCTCAAAAAAAATTTCTTTTTGCCCATGTCCCCTTTCCTTGCCGCTCTGTCTCTATGACACTTGCCATCATCTGCTACGCTATGTCGCACACTTTTCCTTTGCTGTCTAGAGTGCAAACTCCGTGAGGCAGGGTCTTTGTCTGCCTTGTTCACCGTTACACCCCCAAAACCTGGATCAGTGCCTGGCCTAAAATAGGAACTCAGCGAACATTTGGAGAATGAATGAATGAATGAATGAATGAATGAATGAACTAGCAGTGATTAAAAAAGACTCAACACCCTACTCAGTGCTTTAAAAATATGCCACTAATTACAGGCACAGAAAGAAAATTGGCCGTGAGCATTTCTTTTCTGTACCCATTAGAACTTCTAATGAGATTTCACGGTTGTTATTATTTCAAAAGCAACAGCTTTCCAGTGTTTAACAATGTGCTAAATGCTTTTGCTGTTTGTTTCCATTCCTTTTTCCCTAATGGGTAAGGGGATTCGATGGCTGATTCCCCAACTCTAATCACCACCGGGAGGCTGGCTTTCCCTATGGCACTTGGCTTCTCCCCTTCTCAGATTCAGCCAGCACTTAGTTCATAAAAAATTTGAGCACCTACTGTGTACTGGGTGTAGGGTTCTCTCTTTGAATCATAAGTCTATTGTGCACCACAAAATATCAACCAAATGTTGGTGCCACTGTCCCAGTTACCTCCCGCCAAGGAAATTTTGTGGCCAGTGTCCCCAGTGCTAAAGCATGCCCTATCTCTGCCAGAAGATCTTTGATGCCACATGGGGCAATATGGTGTTTCCCAGCCTCTTCTACAGAACTCTGTGTCAGTGTCAAAACATTCTATGCCCACCTCACATGATAGTGGTTACTTCCCTCATGATGGAGGCTACGGCTGGGGCTTACTGTGCCTTTGGATTCACAGACTCCTTATGATAACCAAAACTGCCCGTCCACAGGCCCTGAAACGCTGATGTCACTGAAAAGTGCATTGTTCTTAGAGCTCAAAGACCCGATGGCACTCTTGGTTCTGCCACCTATTGGCTGTGCCTCCTGAGGAAAGCTACTGCATCTTCAGAGGTAGTCTCCCTTTCTGTAAAATGGAAATGTGAAAGCCACCTGTGCTAAGGTTGCTGTGAGGATTAACTGAGACTCGTGTGAAGGGGCTCATACACACTGGCAAGGATGAAGTGTTAGTGAACTCAGTCTTCAGCCTCTCAACGCTCACCTGCGCAGTTGCTGCCATTGAAGCACCTCTTCACCTCTTTGGCCTATCTCTAGCTTGCTGTGGTTTTCTCCATCTAATTTCTCTTTATTTTGCAAGCTCATTAAACATATGCTGAGAATAAATGTACTATTAGGCTGTGAATTTCTGCAGGGCAGTAACAGAGTCCTCCTCCGTTCTACTGCCCCAGAAAAAATCTGCCATCAGCACTGGGCCCAGAGCCCACCTGCTTCAAAGGAGCCCCAGTGGCCTGGGGTCCAAGGGAGCCCCCACCTGACTGACTGAGAGCGTCCCAGAGAGGATCTGAGAGCGAGGTTCCCCTTTCAGGTCACAGACGAAGAGAAATTTTTCCTTTTGCTTCTCCAAGCAGGCTCACTTCCTCACTGAACACTTTTGCCAGCTGCTTTCAATCCTAATATTTTGGCAGCCAAACAGCATGCTGTTCTGAAAAGGAGCTGGGAAACTGCTAACGATCCGATATGAACAGCCTCCCAGCTCTCCTGGGCTCCTGCTCAGAACCCCAGGTTGACAGTGGGACACAGGGCTTCTCAGCACACTGCTTTTTGCTCCAACCAGAGAAGCCCCTGGGCCGCATGCTTTACAGCCCCATCCCCATATCACCAACTCTAGGTATGGAGGGAAACCTGGGCACCTCTGTCTCTCAGGATCTGCTGTTCAACTCTGGTACAGCACAACACAGAACCTTAAACACCCTCTCTCGGAAATGACACCATTCCAGCCTGAGGACAATGCTTCTCCACCTCTCTTATGTCCTTGAAACAAAAGGTGACTGCGTCTGAGTGTTGAGAGTTGTGGGTTGTGGTGTTTCTAGTGTGGGAGACGGACATTATTTCAGAATATGTGTCAGTTGGGGAAGGGGAAGTGACTGATCAGCAGAAGCACTTGGGTGAAAGAAAAGACAAATACATTAACATGTCAAATTCTTCCTCTCACACGGCCAAGAGTGCACTCAACTCTTACAAAATTCAATCAACATCGTACGTCCATTTTCTTGCTTTTCTTCACGTTCCCATTTGTGATTCTGGAGTTATCCAAACACTAGTGTAGAATCCACAACAGTTTATATGGCAGTTAAGGAACCTTTTGTAATATTAAACAGTTTATAAAACCGTTAATTGTGTGTGTGTGTGTGTGTGAGGTGTGTGCGTGCGTGTGTGTGTGACTGACTGTATGTGTGAGGTGTGTGTGCGTGTGTGACTGTGAATGTGTGTATGTGTGAGTTGTGTGCATGTGTGTGTGTGACTGTGACTGTGTGTATGTGTGTGTGTGTGAGGTGTGTGTGCAACTGTGAATGTGTGTGTGTGAGGTGTGTGTGTGTGTGCATATGTGTGTGTGTGTGTAGCTGGGGTTTCTCAACCTTAACACTGCTGGCATTTTAGACTGGTTACTTCATTGTCGAGGGCTGCCCTAGAATGTCTAGCAGCAACACTGGTTCCCACTCACTAGATGCCAGTAGCAAGTGTGTCAACAAAAGATGTCCCCAGACGATGCCCCTGGGAAGCAAAACCAACCCAGCTGAGAACCACTAGACATAGACATGTTAAATGCATGAAAAGTGATGTTGCTTCTCACACTGGCAATGACAAGGATCTCACACACCAGAATTTTATTTAGTTTCGTTTAAATAATTTTGATTAAAAATGTTCACATCCATTAATCATAAAGGTATGGCCCTCTTAATTTTAATAGGCATATTTTAATACAAAGAAAATTCTTTTTTTGAAAACATGAAAAATGTACATTCAAATAGTTTACCTTTAGTTTAATCTACACTTTATGATAAAAATATGTTAAAACTTTAGATGTTTTAAATACAAAACTCCAGATCATGACCATCAATAGAACACAGATGACATGAATATCTTGATTATACAGCAACATAATTTTATGATTTTGTTAAAATAAAAACATGAAAACTAAAATGTGTGGGTGAAGATGTCGTAGTTTATGAATTATGTGTGTATTTATTTCATTACCCGCGCCAACATCATTGGCCCATCAACCGAACGCCAAGACATGTGTAAGAATGATTTAATTCAGTCATCTTGGATATTGGGCTCAATTTTGGTCATACAGGAACTGTACTTTTGTACATAATATGCTTTCTGCTGAGGCATGTTTGTCAAAGGAGGAAGCTAGAATATATTTTATCACATAGTTTATCCTCTTGGTTTATCATATATGGTCTTTGGGTCTTTGCTTGTCTTTTGCCAGGGGCCTGGCATGCATGAGGACAGGTCTCATCCACTTGACCTCAGGCCTCAGCCCAAGGCCTAAAATGGGACTGCGCAGGCACTGAGCCCAGGATGGGCTGCGGGTGGGGGGCAAAGGGAGGGTGGGGCTGGTCGATCAACCACAGGCCTGAGTGGCAGGCGGGCCCTGGGCAAAATGGTTAAATCGGTAAAGGTGATTATTCCCTCACTGGGGGCTTCCCTAGCCCATCTTAGATTCCAGGTTCCTCATGCCCTATCCCAGTCAAGCCTCAGAATTCCATCCCGAAGTACAACCTGACCCATATACCGTTTATTCATTCAAGAAGTATTTATGGAGGACTCAAGATGGCGCTGTGAGAACAACCCAGGATTGGAGCTCTCGTTGAATCCGCAAACGGTGAGTCGGAGTTGCATTTCCAGACTGATCTTTGTTGCCCACAGAACGGGGAAACTCCCAAGTATAAAAAAGACACGGGACGCCAGGCAGTAGGTCTGCCTGGCGAAGCAGGCAGCCGGGGCGGCAGCGGCCGGCCCTACCCAGCAATCCCCACAGGGCGCGCTTGTCCGGGTGCACTGTTGAACCGGCAACCTGAGACTTGAGAGGGCTGGACTTGAGACTGAACGAGACTTGGACAGTAGGCCAGCCCAGGGGATTGCAGGGACAGATCATTTGGGACACCCAGTGGGACGAACAAAACCGCGATTTCAAACTATCCCAAGCAGACGGTCCGAGACGCTCTGTGGGGGAGGGGCGTCCACCACTACCGAGGCAACCCGCCCCAACTGAGATACACGCCCACTGCTGACGCAGCCTGCTGTTGCCGAGGCAACCCTCTACAACGAAGAGACTCCGCCGCAGGGCGTGGCGGAGACCACAGCAGAGCCTGCAGGAACAGGGCGAATCACACAACAGCAGGGCGGAGACTCGGCAGCCAAACAGTGGCTAGTCTGCCTTCTAGCTGGGCAGGACACCTCATCGGACATCGAAAAATAAAGCCCGAACCCCCCAACACAGAGCATTTGAGAAAAAAAGGGTTTTTTTTATGAGCTCTGTTGCAGCAGAATCAAACATAGCAGCCTAACAGCCCTGAATGAACAACAGAGCTCACAGCTCAGCAATTGAGCTCCAAAAAAGTACAGACTGTCTCCTCAAGCAGCTCCCTGACCCCTCTATATCCAAAAGACTGACATTTGGCAGGCATCATCCTGGGACAAAGATAGCAGAAAAAGAAACGGGTAGCATCCCTCACTGTGCCACAGCTGCTAGAGATGCACCCCAGACAAGCAGGGCCTGGAGTGGACCTCAGCAGTCGTACAGCGAAGGGGCTAGGCTGGTAGAAGGAAAACCAAGTAACAGAAATACCTCATCATCAACAATCTGGGTGTCCACTCAGAGACCCAATCGAAAAGTCAGCAACTACGCAGAGGACAAGCGGATACCCACAAAGATGGGAAGAAACCAGCGAAAAAAGGAGGAAAACACCCGAAACCAGAACACCTCGCCTCCTAGAAAGGACCAAAACTCCTCACCAGCAAGGGAGCAAAGCTGGACGGAGAATGACTGTGACGAAATGACGGAATTAGACTTCAGAAGGTGGATAATGAGAAACTTTAGTGAGCTAAAAGAACATGTATTAAATCAATGCAAAGAAACTAAGGAACTTAAAAAAAGATATGAGGAAATGATAACAAGAATGGATAACTTAGAGAGGAATATGAATGAATTAAAGGGGCTGAAAAACACAATACGAGAACTTCGTGAAGCATGCACAAGTTTCAATAGCCGAATTGACCAAGCAGAAGAAAGAATATCTGAAGTCGAAGACCAACTCAATGAAATTAAATGAGAAACCAAGATTAGAGAAAAAAGCGCAAAAAGGAATGAACAAAGTCTCCAAGAAATGTGGGACTATGTGAAACGACCTAATCTACGTTTGATAGGTGTACCAGAAGGGGACGAAGAGAATGAATCCAAGCTGGAAAATACTCTTCAGGACATCATCCAGGAAAATTTCCCCCACCTAGCAAGACAGGCCAACACTCAACTGCAGGAAATACAGAGAACACCACAAAGATATTCTGCAAGAAGAGCAACCCCAAGGCACATAATCGTCAGATTCAACAAGGTTGAAATAAAGGAGAAAATACTAAGGGCAGCCAGAGAGAAAGGTCGGGTCACCCACAAAGGGAAGCCCATCAGACTCACAGCAGATCTCTCGGCAGAAACACTACAAGCCAGAAGAGAGTGGGGGCCAATATTCAACATTCTTAAAGAAAAGAACTTTCAACCCAGAATTTCATATCCAGCCAAACTGAGCTTCAGAAGTGAAGGAAAAATAAAATCCTTTGTGAACAAGCAAGTACTCAGAGATTTTGTCACCACCAGGCCTGCTTTACAAGAGCTCCTAAAAGAGGCACTACACATAGAAAGGAACAACCAGTACCAGCCATTCCAAAATCACACACAAGAGACAAAGTTAAAGAGCATCAACATAATGAAGATTCTACAACAACTAACGGGCAAAACATCCACTTAGCATCAAAATGGCAGTATCAAATTCACACATAACAATACTAACCCTGAATGTAAATGGACTAAATGCACCAATCAAAAGACACAGACTGGCAAATTGGATAAAAATTCAAAACCCATCAGTGTGCTGTATCCAGGAAACCCATCTCACATGCAAGGATACACAAAGGCTCAAACTAAAGGGATGGAGGAAGATTTACCAAGCAAATGGAGAGCAAAAAAAAGCAGGAGTTGCAATTCTCATCTCTGATAAAATAGACTTTAAAGCAACAAAGATCAAAAGAGACAAAGAAGGCCATTACATACTGGTAAAAGGATCGATAAAACAAGAAGAGCTAACGATCCTAAACATATATGGACCCAATGCAGGAGCACCCAGATACATAAGGCAAGTTCTTAATGACTTACAAAGAGACTTAGACTCCCACACAATAATAGTGGGAGACTTTAACACTCCACTGTCAATATTAGACAGATCAACCAGACAGAAAATCAACAAGGATATCCAGGGCTTGAACTCAGACCTGGAGCAAGCAAACCTGATAGACATTTACAGAACTCTCCACCCCAAATCCACAGAATACACATTCTTCTCAGCACCACATCACACCTACTCAAAAATTGACCACATAATTGGAAGTAAAGCACTGCTCAACAAATGCAAAACAACTGAAATCACAGCCTCTCAGACCATAGTGCAATCAAGTTAGAACTCAGAATACAGAAACCAACCCTGAACCGCACAGCTTCATGGAAACTGAACAACTGGCTCTTGAATGTTGACTGGGTAAACAATGAAATGAAGTCAGAAATAAAGAAGTTCTTCGAAACCAATGAGAACGAAGACACAACATGCCAGAACCTCTGGGACACATTTAAAGCAGTCTCTAGAGGAAAGTATATAGCAATAAGTGCCCATATGAGGAGAATGGAGAGATCCAAAATTGACACCCTATCGTCAAAATTGAAAGAGTTAGAGGAGCAAGATCAAAAAAAACTCAAAACCCAGCAGAAGACAAGAAATAACTAAGATCAGAGCTGAACTGAAGGAGATTGAGATACGAAAAACCCTTCAAAAAAATCAATAAATCCAAGAGCTGGTTTTTTGAAAAGATCAACAAAATAGACAGACCACTAGCCAGATTGATTAAAAATAAAAGAGAAAACAACCAAATAGATGCAATAAAAAATGATAAAGGGAAAATCACCACAGATTCCACAGAAATTCAAACCATCATCAGAGAATATTACAAAATACTGTATGCACATAAACTAGTAAACCTGGAAGAAATGGATAAATTCCTGGACTCTTGTGTCCTCCCAAGCCTAAACCAGGAGGAAGCTGAAACTATGAATAGACCAATAACAAGGTCAGAAGTCGAGGCAGCAATTAAGAGCCTACCACACAAAAAAAGCCCAGGTCCAGACGGGTTCACAGCCGAATTCTACCAGACACACAAAGAGGAGCTTGTACCATTCCTTCTAAAACTATTTCAAACAATCCAAAAAGAGGGAATCCTTCCCAAATCATTTTACGAGACCAACATCATCCTGATACCAAAACCCGGCAGAGACCCAACAAGAAAAGAAAACTTCAGGCCAATATCCATGATGAACATAGATGCAAAAATCTTCAATAAAATATTGGCAAGCCGAATGCAACAGCAAATCAAAAAACGTATTCACCATGATCAAGTAGGATTCATCCCGGGGATGCAAGGCTGGTTCAACATACGCAAGTCTATAAACGTAATTGACCACATAAACAGAACCAAAAACAAAAACCACATGATTATCTCTCAATTGACGCAGAGAAGGCATTTGACAAAATTCAACAGCCCTTTATGCTAAAAACCCTCAATAAACTTGGTATCGATGGAACGTATCTCAAAGTAATAAAAGCTATTTATGACAAACCAACAGCCAATATCATACTGAATGGGCAAAAACTGGAAGCATTTCCTTTGAAATCTGGCACTAGACAAGGATGCCCTCTTTCACCACTCCTATTCAATATAGTTCTGGAAGTTCTAGCCAGAGCAATCAGGCAAGAAAAAGAAATAAAGGGTATTCAAATAGGAAAGGAGGAAGCCAAATTGTCTCTATTTGCAGACAACATGATAGTATATCTAGAAGACCCCATCACCTCAGCCCAAAAACTCCTGAAACTGATAAGCAACTTCAGCAAAGTCTCAGGATATAAAATCAATGTGCAAAAATCACAAGCATTCGTCTACACCAATAACAGACTTAAAGAAAGCCAAATCAAGAACGAACTGCCATTCACAATTGCTACAAAAAGAATAAAATACCTTGGAATACAACTCACAAGGAACGTAAGGGACCTCTTCAAGGAGAACTACAAACCACTGCTCAACGAAATCAGAGAGGACACAAACAGATGGAGAAACATTCCATGTTCATGGTTAGGAAGAATTAATATCGTGAAAATGGCTATACTGCCCAAAGTAATTTACAGAATCAACGCTATCCCCATCAAGCTACCATTGACTTTCTTCACAGAACTTGGAAAAACCACCATGAACTTCATATGGAACCAAAAGAGAGCCCACATAGCCAAGGCAATTCTAAGCAAAAAGAACACAGCGGGGGGCATCACACTACCGGATTTCAAACTATACTACAAGGCTACAGTAATCAAAACAGCATGGTACTGGTACCAAAACAGAGATATAGACCAATGGAACAAAACAGAGGCACTGGAGGCAACACAACAAATCTACAACTATACAATCTTTGATAAACCTGACAAAAACAAGCAAGGGGGAAAGGATTCCCTGTTTAACAAATGGTGTTGGGAAAACTGGCTAGCCATGTGCAGAAAGCAGAAACTGGACCCCTTCCTGACACCTTACACTAAAATTAACTCCAGATGGATTAAAGACTTAAACGTAAGACCTGGCACCATAAAAACCCTAGAAGGAAATCTAGGCAAAACTATCCAGGACATAGGAGTAGGCAAGGACTTCATGAACAAAACACCAAAAGCATTGGCAACAAAAGCCAAAATAGACAAATGGGACCTAATGAAACTCCACAGCTTCTGCACGGCAAAAGAAACAGTCACTAGAGTGGATCAGCAACCAACAGAATGGGAAAAAATTTTTGCAGTTTACCCATCTGACAAAGGGCTGATATCCAGAATTTACAAAGAACTCAAACGGATTTACAGGAAAAAAACAAACAAGCCCATTCAAAAGTGGGCAAAGGATATGAACAGACACTTTTCGAAAGAAGACATATATATGGCCAACAATCATATGAAAAAATGCTCATCGTCACTGGTCATGAGAGAGATGCAAATCAAAACCACATTGAGATACCATCTCACGCCAGTTAGAATGGTGATCATTAAAAAATCTGGAGACAACAGATGCTGGAGAGGATGTGGAGAAAAAGGAACACTTTTACACTGTTGGTGGGAGTGTAAATTAGTTCAACCATTGTGGAAGACAGTGTGGCGATTCCTCAAGGCCTTAGAAATAGAAATTCCATTTGACCCAGCAATCCCATTACTGGGTATATATCCAAAAGACTATAAATCGTTCTACTATAAGGACACATGTACACGAATGTTCATTGCAGCACTGTTTACAATAGCAAAGACCTGGAATCAACCAAAATGCCCATTGATAATAGACTGGATTGGAAAAATGTGGCACATATACACCATGGAATATTATGCAGCAATCAGAAATGATGAGTTTGTGTTGTTTGTAGGGACATGGATGAATCTGGAGAACGTCATCCTCAGCAAACTGACACAAGAACAGAAAATGAAACACCGCATATTCTCACTCATAGGCGGGTGATGAAAAATGAGAACACATGGACACAGAAAGGGGAGTACTAAACACTGGGGTCTATTGGGGGGAAAAGGGGAGGGCCAGTGGGAGGGGGAGGTGGGGAGGGATAGCCTGGGAAGAAATGCCAAATGTGGGTGAAGGGGAGAAGGAAAGAAAAGCACACTGCCATGTGTGTTCCTATGCAAATGTCTTACATGCTCTGCTCATGTACCCCAAAACCTAAAATCCAATAAAAAATTAAAAAAAAAAAAAAGAAGTATTTATGGATCACTTCCTGTTCTCTGGGTACTGGGCTGGACCACGGGATATAAAATCTCGGCTCTAAATAAGCAGGTCATTTCAACAGGGAGAAAGTCCTTATCAATCCCCACTTATTCTATCTCTTTCTCTTTCTCTCAATCTTTTATCCCTAAGCCGTAATAAAGGGGAGAAATACATATTTAGGAACCATTGTATTTGTTAAGTTACATCTTCACTTTTTCAGACTTTTGCTTTCTGCTGTGTTAAGCAACAATTAATTTAATATAATGTCACAGGGGTGAAATTATTGAGCTCCTGTTACCTGACAGACATGAACCATCCTCAGGGAACCCAAAGATTCAGGGGTAAAAACGGTGCCTGAGCTTAAGGATGTCACGCACCAGTAGAGGCAGGCAGGTAAATAAGAAACTCTCATGCTGGGCTAGGGCTGCACGAAGGCTTTGCATGAAGTGTAACCACAGAGGAGGGGGAAATGAATTTTCCTGGGGGATTCAGGTGAAGCTTCACCAAGAGTGCTATTTTAGTAGTGAAGGGTATGCAGAACCCCTCCAGGCAGAGATGCAAAAGGATGGGCAGAGGAAGCAGCCCTGGCAAATGTACCCTTGGAAGGGACAAGCCACTAAAGCAGGGAACCAGCCCTTGGCACAGAGTAGGTGCTTCGTGGGTTCTGGTTTCCTTCTGTTGTATCCTGGCCGAGTGACAGTGCCTGGGTTGTTCATGACAGAACTTATATTATTTCTAGAGATGTAACACCCTAGCCCCAAGGAGCAATTGCTCCTAAGATTTCCAGGCCCTCGGTGCTGGAGCTGTGCCTTTCAGCAGCCTGCAGAACATTCAGAGGAGCGAGGACAAGAGCAGGAGGGGAGGCTGAGGACATCCTGGCTCATTAGTTAATGAGTGGTGTTGACTGACTGCCTGCCCTCCCGGGGTGGTTGTGGAAATCAGAAGAGAGACAGAGCGTATAATGGGGGAAGAAGACATCAGAAGATATCACTCTTGTCTACTCATACCCTTGTTTGGGAGAAAAACTTACCTGAGAAATGCAGGAGAAGTGACTTAGGAACTTGGAAAGTTTGCAAGCATCAGCAGATGCAGCACATGGAGAGACTTCCGCAGGACAGAGGACTGTGGAATGAGGGCAGGGATTTGCATGGGATGGGTTAATTGGGGCATGGCCTCCTAGAGAAAATGCTTGGGGTCTGGTCCAAGAGAAGACAGTGTTTCTGAGCAAGCAGTGCACCAGAGCAAGTGAATTGGCGAGGTGTGTGGGAAAGACAGCAAGCGGGCGTGCCCAGGTAAGAGGGACACTGCGGGGAAGGGCAATGGGGAAAAGGGCTGGAGAAATGAGAACCAGGGTGGTGAGGAGGCTGAAATGCTAGCGGGAGGAGCCTTTTTAGGAAGACTGGGCTGGGGAGCATGTACAGTCCACTCCAACCCTGAGATCTTCCTTGCAGACGGTCCACTCTTTCAGGTGCCCACCCTTCCCCAGCACAAGCCAACTCCCAGCCCCTGGGGTGCATCCCGACTGGTTTAAACTAATCTCAGTAATACCACTGCCCTTGGTTGAGTGTGCCTCTGTAATCAGATCCCAGCCAGAGAGCCACACACGTGATCTGTTGAAAGGTTCTGGAAAGAAATAGTCCATCTTTCTCCTGTGCAAGATGTTGACGTATCTGGATGTGAGACCTGAAACCACTGCAGTGATCCAGCCTGAGGAGAAAACCAATTTAGAAAGGGGCGGAGCAGAGAGAATCACAGAGGACAGGAGCTGGTGCCCTATGGCCCTGTACTGGCAGCCTCCCCCTCCCTCAGGATTTCTTATTACATGAGATGATAAATACTCTTTATGCTATTTGAGAATAGGTTTTCTTCTGCTTGCAGTCAAGAACATCATAATATATATTTTTAATTATCTAGGCCAATAATAACGGGAAAGATATAATTCTAGCCAGAGGAACCCACCAAAGAAACATGTTCCACGCAAGCAGTGACCAGAGTTTCAGCACGATGAACACGCGCAGTTCAGGATGCCACGTGGCTGGAGATGGGCCCAGAGGTGCAGGCAGAGGCCAGGTCTCAGACAGATTTGTAAACTTTGTGGGGAACCTGGTCTTTGAAATATTTGGGATCCATAGATGAGAGGACTAAGTTGCCCTGAATAAAAAGTCAGCAACACATAGGATTTCTGAGCAGGAAATAATTAGGCTAGTGTAACTGAGGCTCAGCAGAGCACAGAAATTCAGGAAAAGGGCTGTGGTGACAGACCAAGCCTTAACCCACAGTTCTACCACTGATGAGCCATGTGCCTCGAGTAAACTTCCCTCAATTTTCTGGAAGACAAGTCCTGCCCCTCGGAGTGGTTGTGGAGTCTGTGAGCTCTCCCTGTGATGGCCTGCACACCTCTGATTGTTCTAGAAACAATCACTGACACTGTGAGGTGCCAGACCCTGTGCTGAGGCTGGGTGCAAGGCCATTTCCTCCATCAAGGTGGGCAAGGCCTCAGCAAGGACAACTCACAAGAAGGTGAATGTCAAGGTGGTGTGCAAAGCGCAAAGCAGAGGTGGATTCAGGTTGTCAAGAGTGGTGTTTTTTCCTAAAATGCAAAGAACAAAAAGTCCATTGATGGCAAAGGTTCAGTAAGTTGCTGACTCAGTTGGCAAGGGAGCCGTTCCCTCTACCTGTTCCCAAACTCCCTGAACACCAGTTCTTTCTTTAGCTTGACACTTCCTCAGCTCTTGCGTGGGACCAGCTGCGAGTTGCCAGCACCCTCCTCTCACCCCACTCCACCCTGTCTCCTCCAAGTTCCCTGTATTGACCCACTCATTGGGGTCACTTCTCAGGGACAGTTTCCCAGCCTGCGTCTGAGGAAGGCCCGGCATCTTTCCCAGGTCCTATGGCCTCCTATCCCTTAAAGCCCCGATCACAAATTTTAGGTCAGCTTTTCTGTAGAGCAACCTCAGGCCCTGCTAACCAACCTCAGGCCCATGCCTAACCAACCTGCATCTGAAACACAGCCTTTCTAGGATGGAAACAAGGCCAAGACTAATTCTCCCTGCTTAGGCCCAAGGCATAACCTTTGGAAAGGATTCTGGAGGCTTCTTGGAATCATCTTACCTCAGCCCTCTGCAGCTCGATGGCACCATACATCAGACAGCCTACAGGTCTGCCACAGTGGCAGTCATTGAAATTGGCTCCTGATTCTGCTGCTTCCGCCTCAAAGCTGCCACAAGTTTCGGTGGCCCTCTTCAGGAATCCCAACAGTCTCCTTCCGCAGCATGGTCATTCCCCACCCTCACCTTGGAAGGCACAGGAGGGCGATATTAGGCACTGAACCAACTTACAACACTTTTAATTTTAGTATAGCATGTGTACAGAAAAATGCACACGTCATAAAGGCCTAGCTCGATCAATTATCACAACATGACTACCCATGTAACCACCACCCGAGGGAAGGAGTAGAGCATCTCCAGCCACGCAGGAGCCCTCCTCATGCCCTGTCCCATCAGCAACCTCACTCTCCCATCGAGGCAACTTCTAACGTCATAGAAGTGTTTGGACCAGAGAAGCACTAAAGGGTTTTCAGCAGAGAGGAGATATAGTTGTCATTTGAAAGGTGCTTTCTGTGTAGGAAGAGAACAAGAGGCAGGAGGCAAACTGGGAGTGTGTTGCAGAGACTGTGACTGCTGGGGCCAGACAAGACGCAGTGGGAGGGAAGGAAGGGAGGAAGGGAGGGAGGGAGGAGGGAAGGGAGGGAGAGAGGGAGGGAGGGAGGAAGGGAGGGAGGGAGGAAGGAAGGGAGGCAAACTGGGAGTGTGTTGCAGAGACTGTGACTGCTGGGGCCAGAAAAGATGCAGTGGGAGCAAAGGAAGGGAGGGAGGGAGGGAGGGAGGGAGGGAGGAAGGAAAGGAGGGAGGGAGGAAGGGAGGGAGGGAGGGAGGAAGGGAGGAAGGGAGGGAGGGAGGGAGGGAGGAAGGGAGGGAGGAAGGGAGGGAGGGAGGGGGGAGGAAGGAAAGGAGGGAGGGAGGAAGGGAGGAAGGAAGGGAGGGAGGGGGGAGGAAGGAAAGGAGGGAGGGAGGAAGGAAAGGAGGGAGGGAGGAAGGGAGGAAGGGAGGGAGGGAGGGAGGGAGGGAGGAAAGGAGGGAGGGAGGAAGGAAGGAAAGGAGGGAGGGAGGGAGGGGAGAGAGAGGAGAGACAGGGATGGGAGCAGAGGTCATAAGGCCAACTTTTTGTCAACTTGCCCACTTTCTTAGTGGTGCTTCACTGTGGTCTGCAGATTAATTAAATGACCTTAAAAGCCTCCTACCCCCAATCCTGAAAGTCTTTTATTCAAACCAGTCATCTGGAAAGCAAGCCTCCCACTGGTGCTAATTCACTCAAGGAAAGATTAGAAGAACCTGGTTACCAAGCTTTGAAAAGTTGCTCATAAAATTCAGCAGGAGCCTGCAATCCTCAGAGACTTCTATTTTTACCAAAAATACACACAGAGAAGTGGAGAATTTTCAAATGAATTAGACATGAGATTGATCTTTTTATACAAAAGGAGGGTGAAAAGGAACAGTGATGCTAAGTTTGAACTCCCCGACAACCCCCACCACCTCCCCCCGCACACAGTGTCCCGCATGTCCCTAAGCTGCCTTGACTTGATGGCTTTGGTCAGACCTGAGCTCTGCCCTGACCCAGGTACAGACCACGGTAGGAGCCAGGGTTTCCTTAAGACCATGACCACAGTCAACCCCACACAGGGCCTGCTTCCACTGTAAGAGGAGCTGGCCACAGTGGCTCCCCCAGCCCCACCTGGATGAGAACACCACACATTGGAATGACTGTTGGTGTTGAGAAGGCCTAAAACAGGACATGCTTTGGGAGGGTGGGGGTATCTATCCTGGGCCCAGCTGGTGAGGAAAAGCTCCGCAGTCAGCAATTATTTTCAACCCATCGTATCCCGTAAGCACCAGGCTGTGGCCTTCCTCAACAGTGCTTTGTCAGCTAGCTAACACCTTATCTTTAGCTGGGGTCAATCAAGAACTCCTTTTTAAATTTAATTTTAATTTTTTTTTTTTTTTTTTTTTTTTAGAGACAGGGCCTTGCTCTGTCACCCAGGCTGGAGTGCAGTGTTGCAATCATGGCTCACTGCATCCTCGAACTCCTGGGCTCAAATGATCCTCCCGCCTCAGCCTTCCAAGTAGCTGGGACTACCGCTGTGTACCACCAGGCCTGGCTAATTAAGGACTCCTGATTTCCTCTTGCGAGCTTTGTGTACATTAGATCTGTGGTTGCCACCCAGTGCTCTGTGGATCCCAGGGGTCCATGTAGGCGGCTCAAGAGCCACTGAGGAACCAGCGCTCTGAACCCTTACACACTTCAACTGTAGTTTCTAAACTGGCCTTGAGACAACACAGCGATCCTCTCGTAAGGTTTTGTCGGCCAGGCTTTTCCCTATCTTCTTGGCCATCATAGAGTAATTAAAATACTAATTTGCGTACGGTTGCCCATAGGATCATATAAACCTGAAAAAGCCTTTGTACTTCGAAGGACTGGACAGGGATGACAAATTCAAATCTTAATGAGGCCATACAGGTAGGTCAGGGAGCAAAACAGGCTGCAGTAAGATGACAGGGAGTGTTAGGGTCTTTGATGAAACAGTGTCCATCCTCATCTGCAGCCAATTGCCACCGTGTGAAAATGCAGGCTTAAGGCTGCCAGACCTTCCAGTGCTTCCCGAGAAGACAGATACTACATTTGTCTGCAAATATCCAGATTTCTAAGTCTCAGCAACTAATTCAAATTTTAAAAAAACAAACGCATTTGTGGTCACTCATGCACAGTATGCGAACCACGGGCTTCTTCTTCAGGTCCACTGGGTGAATGAAGCCAGGATGTTGGGGGAGAGAAGGGTCTTAAAGGCGAAGGCCTCACTGAGGGAGGTTGGGGCCATAGACACTAGGAAGAGAGGAGGAGTTGCAGGTTTCAGAGTGAGGAAGACCTGAACCAGCACAGTGCAGCACCCGTGGAGGTGGCATCTAGGAACAAGCATCAGAGCCTGGGGGTCTGGCGAAGGCCTCACAGCTGAGTGTGGTGCTGGGGTGGTGGAGCGGCCAGCAGAGCTGCTTGTCCTGGAATGGACCGGGAGGGCCAGGGCAAAGAGCAGTGTCCACAGCAATCACCAGCAGGGGCCAAGGCACTCACCTGTTTCCTATGCCAAGCTTGGTGCCTGATCCACGCAGGGGGACAGAATCCCAGAAAATGAGGCACAGTGAATTTCCTCAAGCCACAATCAGTTTTGTTTAGAAAATAATGAAATGTGGCATTTCTTTCAACCTAAGCGCCCTAGAACAGTGGTTCTTAAAGATTAAGTTATGGATCTACAGGGTCCTCGAGACCCTTTCAGGAGGGCCTTGAGGTCAAAACTCTTGTCATAATAATACCAAGATGTGGTTTACCCTTTTCACTGTGTTGCCATCTGCACGGATGTGGAAAGCAGGGAAACTAAGGTTCCACCCCCACGACTCAGGCGCCACCCTGCACTCATCATCACTGCGTCCACCTCACATAATAAAACAGTGGCCAGTTTCACTTGAGAATGTTCTTGATGAAGCACAAGAATTACTGATGTTATTAATCGTGACCCTCGAGTTCACGAAATTCTCTGTGACAGCTGGGAAGTAGGCATGAGGCAGTCCTCCTGCACGTCCAGTGTGGCACTTGTCTTGAAGAACAGCTCTGTGGGAAGGGCTTGAGTTGTGAGCTGAAGAAGCCTGTTTGTTTGTTTGTTTTGTTTTTAACAGAACACCATTTTTACTTAAAGGCATCACTGATAGACAAAATGTGGTTATTCAGACTTAGGTTTTTGGCAGAATTTTCCTCTGAAATGAACAAAGCGAGCCTGTCATGTCAAAGAACCGACTGACAGTGTTTGTTGCCAATGATAGAATTTGAGCTTTCAAGCAAAAATTAACACTTTTTTGGAAAGCTTCACATCCACTCCTGTAAGCTTGACAGTTTTCCAGTACTTGAAGACTTTTCTGATGAAATTGGTGGTGAAACTAATGAATGGACTTTTTTTTTTATGTTGTGTAAAGAAACACATCAGCATTTGGATGATCTATAGAACTCATTCAACCAATGTTTCCCAGATGACCGATGCCTCGTGTTACAGAATGACGCATGGATAGAAAATCTTGGGTGTAAGACAGGCTAATGGAGTTGGATATACTAGAGAATAAAAAGTTCACTGAAGTGATTTTAGACTTTAGGTTGCAACTTATCTTTGAGTAACTACTTCCTGGGGGTAGGAAGGATAGCAAAGGACATCCATACTTACCTGAGAAGGCTGTTAAAACACTTCTCTCCTCCTATACAGAATATGGAGGCCAGATTTTCTTCATTACTTCAACCAAAACAACATATCCCAACAGATTGAATGCAATAAGCCAGACATTAAAGAGAGCTGTAAAAATGTAAAACTACCTACCACTCTTTTCACTTGATATTTTCGTTTTGGAAAATATAGTTATTTTAAATAAAAATACATACTTATATGACTGCCTAGTGGGCTTACTTTTTCTTACAATGAATTGCTAAATACATATTTTTTAAACCCTCAATTTCATTTTGATTATAGTAAATAACTGTGACATACACAATAAATAGCTTGGAGCCCTCACTAATTTTTAAGAGTGTAAAAAGACATGTGAATAAGAATTTTTTTGCAAATTGCTTTGATATAGAACAAGTCGTATCTGTTGTACTCTGCGTCTCTGGAGAGCCCAGAAAGATCAAAGCCACATACCAGGAGGAGTGAGGTGGGGGCTGAGTAGAGGTTATTGAAATTCACTTTCATATTCTCCATTTTTCTCTAAGAGGCCGGCAGGATCTTTCACAGATAAGGAACTGAGACTCAAGAAGTGAAATACCTGGTGTCAGAGCCAACTCCCAGGTGGGTCAGGCAGGATTTGAACCCAGGTCCTCTGACTTCAAACCCAGAGCCCTTTCTGCTCACATGCACGTTATCTATGCACCTGAAATGGGCCTGGGCCCCTAACTTTTTCTTTCTCCTCTTTCTTCTGGGGTTTGGTCTCATGGGCAACATGAAGCTGACTTACAAAAGGAACTAAAATTCTTTTTCTACTTCAAGAGTTCTGTAATTGACCATAGCAGCTTTACTCACAGCCGCAGCCTATATGTCATGTGGCCCATCTGTTCTCTGCCTGTGACTGAGGAACCAGAGGGGTCACTTGACTTAGGGGCAGGGCCATCTATAGAGTGCTCTGGACCAGTCAGCTTC